CTCTCTGGCAAACTTCAGACGGGCCTGGACATGCACTGGCTTCAGCAGGGGGACACGTCTGGCACTGCAGGATTTGATTCCCTGTCGTCGTAGTGTGTTACTGATGGTAACCTTTGTTACTTTGGTCCCAGCTCTCTACAGGTCATTCACCAGGTCCCCCGTGTGGTTCTAGGATTTTTGATCACCGTTCTCATGATCCTTTTGACCCCACGGGATGAGATCTTGCGTGGAGCCCCAGATCGAGGGAGATTATCAGTGGTCTGCTTGCCTATTGTAGATTCACTCTTCCTAGTCTGGTGCAGGTCTACAATTCTTCTCCTGGTGTCCATCGACGGCTCTTTGGTTTTGGCCATAGTGGAGTTTGACTGAGGTTGTGGACAGGTGACTTTTATACAGATAACGAGTTCAAACAGGTGCCATTAATACAGGTAACGTGTGGAGGACAGAAGAGTTTCTTAAAGAAGAAGTTACAGGTCTGTGAGAGCCAGAGATCTTCCTTGTTTGAAGTGACCAAATACTTATTTTCCACCATAATTTACAAATAAATTCTTTAAAAATTCTACAATGTGAATTCCTGGATTTTTTTTCACATTCTGTCTCTCACAGTTGAAGTGTACCTATGATGAAAATTACAGACCTCTGTCATTATTTTAAGTGGGAGAACTTGCACAATCGGTGTAGCATCAGAAGGTTATAATAAATCCAGATTTCATAAGGCTATAACTTTAAAGTGGTTGAAGATAAAGGCATACTGTAATGATAAATATCTTCAGTATGAACCAAAATTTGGAATGGAAGTTGATTTGTCGTCTAATTTACATATTACACTCAAAAGATCACTTCTTGGTGGGTGAACGACAGGGGGCACTGCAGCATCAGTTTGAATGTGGTGCAGTCCAGGAACACAGCCTAACCCTGTAAAGACATCTTTATATTAAGTAAAAATGTCTGTGTCTCTGATAACATTATATAGTCTTTTAATCAGTCCCATTTGGGCACAAGAGTCACCTCCTAGTGCTGGTAAATCAGTCTCTATTATTTGAAACTCCAGTTGACGTATTTCAGCTTTGTGGCAGTTCAGTATTGCCTTACCCAATGGCTCCATCTTGTGGCGAGAATAAGTCACCCATTAGATTTCTCTAGTGCGCTTCTTTGCACTACTTGATTGAATGTTGACAGTGGTAACACATTGCAATCATCACTGGTATAAAGTCTAAAGGTAAGCTTTTGACCATTTATTTTCAGCACTTCTTTCCACTTTTTGTAATCTTTGCTTGATTGTTTGCTTTGAACTCGTTTGCTGATTGAATGTATTGCTCCAATGAACAGCTCACTTTCTTCCTGTTCAATCTCATTTACACTTTGGTCTGACTTTTTGTAACAGTCTTTTGGGTTTTTAGATCTGCATACATGTGCATAGTGGTTCTTTCGTGAACACAGATTGCACATCTGACCGTAGGCTGGGCATTTTCCGTACTCGTGCTTGTAACCACACTTGTTAGTCTTTGCTAACGCTAGCGGCAGCTTTGGGCTTTTTCGGTAGCTTAGTTTTTGTGACTTTATTGACTGCTATGTCATTTTCTTCGTTGAGTACTTTCATATGACTGAGTGGCTTCATTGGCTCTGCAGATGTCTACTGCTCTGGTCAGTGTTCAGTCTGGTTCTCGCAGTAATCTTGCCCTGACTTGTGCACTTTCCACACCGCACACAATACAATCTTTGACAAGGGATTCAGTGAGAATTCCGAACTCACAATCCTTTGCTTTATTTTTCACTGTACTCACGAAACTTGTCTTTTAACTCCTCTATGTCCTCATCGTCTCCCTCAAAGTCCATGGTATTATATACCTTAAAGGCGCTATACCCGTTGCTGCAATGTTTGAATGTTTAGCACCGCCCCCCAACTCGCTCAATGGCTTCTCATTTCCCCTACGCTCTCATAACACAGAGCCACCTAGTTTTATTTGCGATCTGATACATATGCTAACATTAGCATTAGCGCAACTTCTTGTAAGCTGTGCAACAATCACCGATGAAATGGCACTAAAGCAACGCACTGCTAACACAATATATAAGTAAAAGAATACCGCTAGTTTCGCGTCCGAATGTATTAATTTAAAACCTTAGAATATATTCTAATATTTAATTATAATGTGTTATAGAGCTCCTCAAAGCAGCAGCAGCAACAGAACTCTCAAACCAATAATGACCGAAGCCCCAATGCAACCTCTGTTTGTAATTCAGGTGTGTAAAATACTGCCATTACTCTGCAAGTACAACAAGCTATCAGTACCTGTCACTATACACTCGTCTGTGTAGAGAAGCCAACGGAGCTAGCGGAGCTAGCCACGCTCAATAAACAACTACATATCTATCAATCAACACCATTAAACGTCAATCGGACAATACAGTACACATATACATCCTTAACACACATGCACGGATGATTTCAGAATTTGCTGTTAACGTTTTCATGACAAAAATACTGTTTCAATGTGACAAAAAGCGATTGCGAAAAACCCGGAAGTTACCATGAAACAACTAGCTAGCTTAGCTGTTACCTGCCTAGCACGTCCCGGTGAAACCTTTGGGAGCTAACTATTTTATTTGCAGTCATTAAATACATTTCGAATTACAAGGGTTGTCTAAGATTTGTTCACATTTTTTATTCAATTATTTTGTTCATTTTTTATTTTAGAATTATATTCGAATTTTGAAGTCGAAGCCCTGGTGTTAAGCAGCGCTGTAGAGGCTAGAGGACGCAGGCTGTTCGCTGCTCGTTCTGTAAGCGGAGGAGAAAGAGCGGCCCGCTCAGACTCTACTCAGCACTTTTCACTGCTTGTAATTCTTACACAGCTGAATCAATTACCTCAAGTTTTCAATTAAATGATGTATTATGATACAACTTGTATGTAGTAAAAAGCATTTTTATGAACTACTTAGAAAAAAAATCGGGTATAGCTTCTTTAATCTCTTCATCTCCGGCCACATGCAGAAAGGTGGCACATTGAACCTTTTGAGATTTCTCTGAGAGTTCGCTGGCTATCAGGTATAGCTCAAACTTCTGGACCCAAGAACGCCAGTTTTCTTCTAGACACAGGCTGTTTGGTGGCTTTAGTTGTTCCATGTTTTACTTCTGACACCATGTAACATACGGTACCATGTAGAGATGGAGATGGTTATAGATTAAATCACAACAGACGCGTGGTGTGGTAGCAGGTAGCTTGTTTACTTAACATCTGGCTCTACACACATAACATAACATATATCTCGAGTGCTCCTAGCGGACCATGTACAGAATGTAACTGCACCTTACATTACAGTCCCCTGCTTGGCGTTCACAGAATGCTTCCTCTGCGGCCACATGGAGGTGAAGCAGCCGCTGTACTGTGGCTGATTGTGGACTATGGAGTGCTAACTCCTGTCACTTATAATTTCGTGTCCTCTTCACTGGACACCTGTGTGAACTACAGTGCCTTGCGAAAGTATTCGGCCCCCTTGAACCTTTCAACATTTCGCCACATTTCAGGCTTCCAACATAAAGGTATAACATTTTAATTTTTTGTCATGAATCAACAACAAGTGGGACACAATCGTGAAGTGGAACAAAATGTATTGGATAATTTAAACTTTTTTAACAAATAAAAAACTGAAAAGTGGGGCGTGCAATATTATTCGGCCCCTTTACTTTCAGTGCCGCAAACTCACTCCAGAAGTTCAGTGAGGATCTTTAAATGATCCAATGTTGTCCTAAATGACTGCTGATGATAAATAGAATGCACCTGTGTGTAATCAAGTCTCCGTATAAATGCACCTGCTCTTTGATAGTCTCAGGGTTCTGTTTAAAGCGCAGAGAGAACCATGAAGACAAAGGAACACACCAGGTATGTCCGAGATACTGTTGTGGAGAAGTTTAAAGCCGGATTTGGATACAAAAAGATTTCCCAAGCTTTAAACATCTTAAAGAGCACTGTGCAAGCAATTATATTGAAATGGAAGGAGTATCAGACCACTGCAAATCTACCAAGACCCGGCCGTCCCTCCAAACTTTCATCTCAAACAAGGAGAAGACTGATCAGAGATGCAGCCCATGATCACTCTGGATGAAATGCAGATAACTACAGCTGAGGTGGGAGAGTCTATCCATAGGACAACAATCAGTCGTGCACTGCACAAATCTGGGCTGTGGCAAGAAGAAAGCCATTTCTCAAAGATATCCATAAAAAGTCTCGTTTAAAGTTTGCCACAAGCCACCTGGGAGACACACCAAACATGTGGAAGAAGGTGCTCTGGTCAGATGAAACCAAAATCGAACTTTTTGGCCACAATGCAAAACGATATGTTTGGCATAAAAGCAACACAGCTCATCACCCTGAACACACCATCCCCACTGTCAAACATGGTGGTGGCACCATGGTTTGGGCCTGCTTTTCTTCAGCAGGGACAGGGAAGATGACTAAAATTGATGGGAAGATGGATGGAGCCAAATACAGGACCATTCTGGAAGAAAACCTGTTGGAGTCTGCAAAAGACCTGAGACTGGGACGGAAATGTATCTTCCAACAGGACAATGATCCAAAACATAAAGCCAATTCAACCTGGAGAGACTACAAGAGACGAGAAGCGTTTATGCGTTTATTTCATGAATTGAGTTTGTTTATTGGTTTGGAGCTTAGGCCCGTGGCCGTGCTCTGAAGAGATCTGCGCCTGGGTGTAGATCATGATCCCCCGGGGCCTAGACACTGGTGGTGGCAACAAGGCAAGGTGAATGTGAGAGTGAAGAAGTCCTGAGGAGGTGGTTGCAGCTTGAAGTCCGTTTGGTGAGCTGTGCTCTGCTTTGCTCTTAAACGCTGGCTTGATTGACACGGCTGCGGGGAGTTGATTAAGACAGGCTGAGTAAGGCGTGGTCAAGCCTGGTGTGATAACGTAGGTAGTCTACCATCCTGAACCTCCGCTTAAGCTGCGGCCACTGACGTGGCGTCGTCGAAGCGTGCGGCCACCTACGTGGCGTCGTCGAAGCGTGCGGCCACCGACGTGGCGTCGTTGAAGCGTGCAGCCACCGACGTGGCGTCGTCGAAGCGTGCGGCGTCGAAGCGTGCGGCGTCGTCGAGGCGTGCGGCGTTGTCGAGGCGTGCGGCGTCGTCGAGGCGTGCGGCGTCGTCGAGGCGTGCGGCGTCGTCGAGGCGTGCGGCGTCGTTGAGGCGTGCGGCGTCCAAGCGTGCGGCGTCCAAGCGTGCGGCGTCCAAGCGTGCGCCGTCCAAGCGTGCGGCGTGGAGGAGGAGTCGAAGCGTGGAGGAGGAGTCAAAGCGTGGAGGAGGAGTCAAAGCGTGGAGGAGGATTCGAAGCGTGGAGGAGGATTCGAAGCGTGGAGGAGGAGTCGAAGCGTGGAGGAGGAGTCGAAGCGTGGAGGGGGAGTCGAAGCGTGGAGGAGGAGTCGAAGCGTGGAGGAGGAGTCGAAGCGTGGAGGAGGAGTCGAAGCGTGCGGCCACCGACGTGGCGTCGAAGCGTGCGGCCACCGACGTGGCGTCGTCGAAGCGTGCGGCCACCAACGTGGCGTCGTCGAAGCGTGCGGCCACCGACGTGGCGTCGTCGAAGCGTGCGGCCACCGACGTGGCGTTGAAGTGTGGCGTTGAAGTGTGGCGTAAGGCCAAAGCACTGGGCAAACGAACAGCACAGAGTGGCTCGGCCGCGCTCCGACCAATCAGAGCAGCTCATCAGACACAGACAGCCGGGAGGCAATGCAGTGGGCAAAACTTACAGTCCACGGTCAATTAGACAGAGCGAAGGCCAATGCAGACGACAAATGTTATAGTCCATGGTTACAACTGACAGCCTGAAGGGTCAATGCAGTGGGTAAAATGTTCAGTCCATAGTAAAACGGACAGCCTGGAGGTCACTGCAGTGTGTAGAATGTTCAGCCCATGAGTAAAACGGACAGCCAGAAGGCCAACACAGTGGTTAAAATGTGCGGTCCATGGTGAAAACGGATGGTCTAAATGCCAATGCAGATGGTAAATCGAACAGCCTGAAGAGCAATGCATCGGGTAAACCCACAGCCTGCGAGCCAATTCGGCGGGATTAACTGACACGCCGCAGTTCAGTACAGTTCATGGTAGTGCGGAAAACAACGAAACCGACACTGTACCGTGAGTGGAGGCAGGGAGAAGGGTGGACAGCGGCAGGCAGACAACGGCAGGCAGACAGAAGTCCCGTTCCCGGTATGGAAGCGGCAGGGTGCGCGGAGTAACGCCTGGCCGCGAGCAGCAGCGGCCACGGGGAGACGAGCGGCAGCGAGTCCGCAGGAGAGGACCCGCGGTGAGCCGCGGTGGAGACACAGCGACCATGGCGCGCAGCCCCCAACATGTGATGTGGAAGAGGAGCCGCGACCATGCAGGACGAACAATGTGCGATGCGTGCGTAAACAAAGTGACGAAGAGCAACCCATTGCAGCTTGAAGTCCGTTTGGTGAGCTGTGCTCTGCTTTGCTCTTAAACGCTGACTTGATTGACACGGCTGCGGGGAGTTGATTAAGACAGGCTGAGTAAGGCGTGGTCAAGCCTGGTGTGATAACGTAGGTAGTCTACCATCCTGAACCTCCGCTTAAGCTGCATATCTACAATGGAATGGTTCACAAATAGACGTATCCAGGTGTTAGAATGGCCAAGTCAAAGTCCAGACCTGAATCCAATCGAGAAAGAGCTGAAGACTGCTGTTCACAAACGCTCTCCATCCAACCTCACTGAGCTCCAGCTGTTTTGCAAGGAAGAATGGGCAAGAATTCAAGTCTCTCGATGTGCAAAACTGATAGACATACCCCAAGCGACTTGCAGCTGTAATTGCAGCAAAAGGTGGCGCTACAAAGTATTAGTGCAAGGGGGCCGAATAATATTGCACGCCCCACTTTTCAGTTTTTTATTTGTTAAAAAAGTTTTAATTATCCAATAAATTTCGTTCCACTTCACGATTGTGTCCCACTTGTTGTTGATTCTTGACAAAAAAAATATTTTTTATATCTTTATGTTTGAAGCCTGAAATGTGGCAAAATGTTGAAAGGTTCAAGGGGGCCAAATACTTTCGCAAGGCACTGTAAATGAAGAAAACACCGGTTCACTCTAATCTGCTCAGGCTCCGCTCAGCACTACCACTCGCCTCCGCCATTTTACTCTAAAGCTTTTCATATAACCACACCCACAAATGCCGCTCATATTAAAGGCACACATGTCCGCTAAATCCTGGTGAAGAGTATGAAAAGATTCTGCACCAAATTTATTGATACAGCCTGTTTTATTTAGCAGGACGCCAGCCCCAGGGCGCCGCCATTGTTTTTTACTCCACGTAGGATGCTACGCTGTGATTGGTTGACTGGATTTGTAGCGTTCTGCGGAAAAGGTGGACTGGCGTTTATTGCTGTTTGGAAAGAATGGGAGAAAGCAGGAAAACTCAATATGGGGTTATCAACAGTGACCAAATACATTTCTGATTTTGGCACAAACTCATTTTTTCATTGTGTTTTGGAACCAAACTCTTCATACATAGATTAATCTCATAATTTTGCTAGTTCGAGTTTATTCTCATAATATTTTGACTTTAAAGTCAAAATATTATGGTTTTCTTTGAAATCTTCTTTGAAATCTACTTCAGAACGACTTGAGAAGAAATTTAAGACAATTCTTAAGAAGATATTGGTGAATGAGGCCCAATGATTTCAGGAATACAGTGAAAGTTGTGGGTCACAGTAAAACCCAACGTTACACAGAATCACACGGACATTTAGCCACAAACAAACACGTTCCCAAGGGACCATACTTTGCGGTGCGTTGTGTCTTTGTTGAAGAAATACAAGTGGTTTGTGAGGAAGTCTCGTTTGAAGCCGTAGGGTCCACGGCCTTCGTTGAAGAAAAGCACGTGGTGTGTGAGGGAATCCCGTTGGAGCACGTAACGTCCACAGTCTCCTGTGAGGCCGTGGAGCTGGGAGCTGGGAAAATACGTGGGTCGAGCAGCCTGGTCTGTTGGTTCTGTTGCGTGGCACCTGCACTTGTTCTAGTCAGTTTCTGCACGAAGGCCCACGTGCTCCGGACTCGCAGAGATAGGGGAGCAGGGGTTACAGGTTACGGAGCAAGCCTGCTCGCTCCGCTCGAAGTTTAAGAAGTTGAGAAGTTGAGAGTAAGAGAGGGCGGGCCTCTCTGCTTGCTGCTTTTAGCGAGCCTTCCTGGGGCCGTGTCCTTTGGGGAATCTGTTTTGGATAAACACATTCTCTACAGCTGATTGGTCAAACGGGGTTACAACATGTTCACGTCATCACACAGCTATCAGGATTTTATGAGACACAAACTTAACCAGTTGGATTAGACATTTGTTTATACAGATCTTAGTCTTTGTACATTTGATATCTGCTTGACAATTTTCTGTTTCACGGAGGCATCAGAGTACAGTCCCAGGGCCTACCTGCTCTGTTGCCATCTTACACACATCAGCGGTGTTGTTATGGGATGCATGGGTAGGTCATTCGGTAGATGCATCAAATGCTTTAATATTTTTAATGCAATTTATGAAAAAAATTAATTAACTTTAATTTTGACAACCCTAGTCTTTTACTATAATCAACTGAACCAACAAACAATCAGCAAAGCAAGACAATTGTTTACAGCCCAAAATAAATGAATAAGTGATCATCAGTGTATAGAAATAGAAGTATGAGTCCAGTTTGTCAAGTCAATGCACACTATATGCTCAGTGTAATAAAAACATTACTATTATTATTATTTATTCTTGTCAATGTTTGAGCAGCCGAGTAGTCATGTTCTTAAGAGAGTGTTTTCAGGTGTTGTCCCTGAGAATAGAGGCTAATGTGTTTCCCACAGCACCAATGGAGCTCTCTGACATCAGGGACACAGATCTTGTACAGGAGAGCTGCTGGCTCTTCTGTGCATATTTCAGTGTTGATTGGAGATGAGTGCAATGCATTGGAAAGCAGGTGTCAGGATGGTTCCTTGTCTGCGTGGCCCTGTGGCGGGCCCTGTCCTGTGTGTGAGGTGACCCTGAGCCCCCTGACGTCAGTGCCCACAGGGAGCTCACTCACAGATGTAATCAGCAATGACATATACAGATGCACCACAAACAAGATTCTAACCCTATTTCAATTTTAAATGCTAGTTTCTTGGAGAAACGTAAGTGCTTGGGAAGTTTCCGCTTTTAAACTGCTGGTTTGATTGGCATGGGTTGACAGGCAAGTTGGCAGCGATGCGTGATAGGCTGAGGGCAAAAGGTGCTGCCATGGATGGGATGCAGCAGGCTGCCTACTTGATTAAATTTCCGCAGGCTGCATTATAATATTTACAGCTGGGAGGCAATCAAACTCATGTTGAACAAATAACAATAAACATGACAAATTGAGTAAAAGATAACTAGTCTTCCCTCTGGTGGTAAAAGAGGGGGCTTACATTATGATAGATTTAAAGGCAATACTATTGTTTCAAAAAACTGCTCTGTCCATGACGTCATGGCCTCAGGGTTCTCAAGAAGGTTTGGGTATGGGTTTGACGCTTGATCAATGATTCTAACATCCCGGAGCACCTGGTCAGTGGGAGTAAAATGCAGCTGGGCGCAGGAAGGTTGAGAGCTTTGATTTGTGTACGAGGGGGTTGCGATTGCGGCAGCAGTTATGCCGCAGAGCGGTTCGGTTTCACTGAGAACTCTGCAAACATCTCTCCACTATAGGAGGAACTTTGAGTGAGGTTGTTGTTTAGAGTGACTGGGTGGCAAAACAGCAGCGAAAGCTACCTGGATGCTAGACAGTTAGCTAGATTTAGACGTTTGGAGAGAGGTTTTACTTAATAAAATGGCCCTCTCTTATTGTGCGGTTGGTTGTACGGCCCGCTGGGGCCAGATAAGGGTTCGAGTTTGAAAAGAACAGCGAGAAATGGTTGCAGGCGATCAGGAGAATGAACACTCTACTGAGGGCCGTTCGGTCCCTGTATGACCGGAGCTGTGTTCGCATTGCCGGCAGTAAGTCAGACCTGTTCCTGGTGCATGTTGGCCTCTGCCAAGGCTGCCCTTTGTCACCTGTTCGGTTCACTGTTTTTATGGACAGAATTTCTTGGCATAGCCAGGGGCCGGAGGGGGTCCGGTTCGGAGACCACAGGATTTGATCTCTGCTGTTCGCGGACAATGTTGTCCTGTTGGCTCCAACGAACCAAGGCCAAGTGTGAAGCGGCAGGGATGAGAATCAGCACCTCCAAATTTGAGGCCATGATGCTCGACCGGAAAAAGGTGCCTTGCCTTCTCCAGATGGGTGTAGTGGTTCTTCCTCAAGTGGAGGAGTTCAAGTATCTTGGGGTCTTGTTCACGAGTGAGGGAAGGATGGTGCGTGAGATTGACAGGCGGATCGGTGCAGCGTCGTGGTCACTGTATTGGACCGTTGTGGTAAAGATCGCGCTGAGCCGAAAGACAAAGCTCTCGATTTACCGGTCAATCTTCGATCCCTCCCTCACCTATGGTCATAAGCTTTGGGTAATGACCAAAAAGACAAGATCGCGGATACAAGCGGTTCAAATGAGCTTCCTCCGCAGAGTGGCTGGGCGCTCCCTTAAGCCTAGCGTACATCGGACTGGCAACTGATTATATCCGTCGCATATGAGTTGCTGCCCCGCACACATCGACAATCTGACGAAAACGGGCAACTCCCAGTCGCAGACCAGTCTCGGGAATAACAGCGCGTACATCGACAGCAACTGGCCTCAACTACAGTGTGTTTTCTGACATAAACTGTTGCGGGCTCACAATACACGCAATACACACACGTTGTCGGAGCGGCGCATGGAGCGCGCACATCGGGTCATATCTCCGAAACTGAGGACAACTAGTTGCCGAAAAGTAGAACACGGGCAACTGACTGAAACTGGAGACCGACTGTTCATCTCCAGTTGTAAGAGCGCGCACATCGACCGATTTCGGCAACTGATCATCTCCCACCATCTCCTCTCAGTTGCCAAAAGCCGCCTTGCAACTAGTTGTCCCCAGTTTCTCTGTCGATGTACGCTAGGCTTTAGAGATAGGGGGATTAGCTCAGTCACACGGGAGGAGCTCTGAGTAGAGCCACTGCTCCTCCATGTCGAGAGGAACCAGTTGAGGTGGCTCGGGCATCTGTTCCAGATGCCTCCTGGAAGCCTCCCTGGGGAGGTGTTCCGGGCACGTCCAACCAGGAGGAGGCCCCGGGTAAAGACCCAAGTCACGCTGGAGGGACTGTGTCTCTCAGCTGGCCTGGGAACACCTTGGGGTCTCCCCGGATGAGCTGGAGGAAGTCTGTGTGGATAGGGAAGTCTGGGCGTCTCTGCTTGGACTGCTGCCCCCGCGACCCAGCAACAGATGAAGTGGAAGAAAATGGATGGATGGATAAATGAAAAACTAAAGAGATATATTCATCATGTTAACTGATGCAAATTAGATTTGATTACATTTATTATCATCTTTACATTGATATGTAGTAGTATGTAGTTTATGTACTGTAAATAAACAAAAAATGTCCTTGTTTCCAAACATAACCGTAAAAGGGTATATGGTAAAAAATGTGAATGAATATCGTTACCAGGGTGTAATTTTAGATCCCACCCTCAGCTTTAAAAACACATAGCCTCAAATACACTATAAAAACTTACAAATGTATCAGGAACTCGCTTACACTGGAGGGAGCCCAAACTTATTATAATGCAATGATCATGTCTCGTTTTTATTATTGTATAACGTGTTGGTCCCAGGCAAATAAAACCACTCTGAGGTCATTGGAAACTCTGCACAAACAGTCACTTAAGATCCTCGACCGGAAACCACGACATCACCATCACTGTTTAGTTCTCCAAAAATACAGACTGCTAAATTTGGACAATATTCAAAGATTTGCATCCATACGATTGGCACACAGAATATTAAATAACACTGCACCAGCTCCACTCAAACACTTTATTAGGTTCACATCTGCTGCGACATGTAGAACCACACGAGCCTCCACCAGGGGGCAGTGCAGCATACCCAGGTGTAAAACCGCTTTTGCACGATCAGCATTTTCATATAAAGCAATAAAGGAATGGAACGAGCTCACTAAAGAACTGAAGAGTCAAACAGACTATTCAACATTTACAGTAGAACTTAAAAAGTGGTTATGGAGCAATCAAAGCTGCTTACACGAACCATGAGGTGCGACCCAGGACGACTGATGTATGTGAACTATGTATGATGAGAAACTGATGTATGTGAACTATGTATGATGAGAAATGTACTGAATGTGTTAATGTATCATACAGTGGATGTATTGTGCATGTGTGATGCTGGAAATGAGGTGTGGTTTTAACAAACAGGTGTGAGATTTCATAACACTTTTAAGCAACTTTTGTTAAGGTTAAACTCATCATTCTATCAATGTGCAGAAGCCAGTACTTTTCCCTTGTTTTGTCTATCTGAAGGCCAAGCTACAAGCACACCGTGGAAGCTGCTGATTGGAGGTCTCCATGCCTCCGCTCTGTATAATACACTTGCATTCTATTGTATCTGTGTGCTTTGTTCGTGCTGTCTCTACCATCGACAATAAAACATGTCTTCTGTCTGAATTTAAGACGCGATCCCAGACTTTGTCATCTTCTTCAGGTGGTGGAAGGATGCGGGCCTTGTCTGTAATCTAGAGAACAGAAGACTACTTTTTTTTACACAAAAAGTGTTTTTTTTTTAAGCCAAAACTAAGAAACCTCAAGAGAAACCATGCATCTGGATCAGCACATGGACAATCTGCACAGCCCCTGATTCCACTCAGGCTGTGAGCTGCTGAGACATGGACAACACCATTGTCCTCTTTTGCATGGACATCATTTGGAACAATTGGATTTCTGAATTTGGACATAATTTGGACTGAATTGGATTGCTGAATCTGGACACTGAAGCTGAAACGTGTGATTTGAAAGACACGTCACAGAAGAATTCATGGCTCGACACAACAAATGCAGCCTGAAGAAACCAACACGGAGAAGTGGGAGAGACTGTTTTCAAAGCAATATCTGGAACCACCATCGACTGATGAAGTTTGGTATTTTACTGAAGATTGTTGACAAGTTTTATGAAAGATCTGAACATGTTTTATGAATTTTATGAGTTTTTGAAGTATTCTGAGATCTGAGTTTTTGAAGTATTCTGAGTTCTGAGTTTTTGAAGTACCGAGTGAAGTACCGAGTTTAAGTATTGAGTTATGATGTTATGTTGCTGTTTATCGATCCTGATGGTCACACGTGAAGTTGTGACCAGAGGGGCGAATGTGAGATTTCATAACACTTTTAAGCAACTTTTTTTTTTTAGGTTAAACTCATCATTCTATCAATGTGCAGAAGCCAGTACTTTTCCCTTGTTTTGTCTATCTGAAGGCCAAGCTACAAGCACACCGTGGAAGCTGCTGATTGGAGGTCTCCATGCCTCCGCTCTGTATAATACACTTGCATTCTATTGTATCTGTGTGCTTTGTTCGTGCTGTCTCTACCATCGACAATAAAACATGTCTTCTGTCTGAATTTAAGACGCGATCCCAGACTATGTCATCTTCTTCACAGGTATAAGGCTAAATGTGTGCGTCTGTATCAGAGAGAGTGTGTTGTATTGCTATGTTATTTCTATTGGACTGTACATTACTGTATCCATGTATTTTATTTATGTAACCAGGGACTGCAGATGGAAACTAGCTGTTTAGCTATAATCTGGTGCAGAACATATCTGTCTTTGAGCTTAATGTCTCTGTACATTGTCCCTTCAAATAAAGACTAAACTAAACTAAAATTGCTTTATTTACGTTGACAATGTGCTCTTTAACATGTAGGCTTACAACTAATATAGTATATAAAGGGTGGAAAAGTGAATAATACCATCAGTGCGAACTTGAGCTAACCAGAAGGTAAACCTTTAAACAAATGTAAACACCTCCTTAATGTTGTAACATTTCAAACACATTATATTATTTCTATTAAAAAGGCTTTGCTTCGCATTTGAATTAACGTGGGTTTATTATGTATTAAGAAATAATAGTACCAACTAATTATAAAAATTGTTCAAGTTAAACTTATTTTTCTTTCTTATTTCTGACACTAGCACTTAGCATTTGCCTATATGGCACTACACATGATAAAAAGACAGAAATGGTTTGTTCCATGAGACTACATATCAGACCGGCTTCTCTGAAGTTTTGAAACTGGAGGAGTGCTTCGAAAGCCACCCAGACACAAGGGGAACATGCAAAACGCCTCATGTTTCCTACACAACCTCACATTCTCACAACAACACTGACACAGCAGATCTTTAGCTGCGGCTGACTGTTTCCGCTATGCACTAAATAAATCAATCCTCACGCTGCAAAATACATCCTTCTCACCAATTACCACCAAGGTCAAGGGGGCGCCGCGATATGGTTTCAACATGTCCTCTGGACAAACTGATCACAGTAATTATCCTCTCACCTTTCACGGAGCAGGACATGCGGTCTGATAATATAGCGGTAATAGGAAATGCACAAGAGATCGATGGACAAATGAGGCGAGCGGAGCAGCGCGACACCAGGCCATAAACACCAACATTTATATCTCTGGTATTTGACCAGTGCCAGACACGGCTCACAGTACTGTCATTATGGCCCAATTATCCGCTTCTATAGTTTGATTATCTGGTGTAGATAAACTCAATATTGTTTGATAAGTGACTAAAAGCTACAGCAGCTGATTCTGGAACACGTAAGATTATTTGTGACTCACAAAAGAGAGGAACTCATTTCTCTTGTGTGCTGAACATGCAGATGTAGAAAAGGACAAATGCTGAATGTTCATATATTTTAAACATGTTCCAACCACAAACATCTAACCCCGCCCCCTTGTTAGAAAAAAAAGAAGATTTACACTTTTGTCATGAGATTTCACCAATTCAGTCGTTTGCTTCCTCCATATATTCCCAATTTGAAATGATTCGTCATTCTAAAACATGAAACTGTAAACACTATTTCACCAGGATCAATAAGCATGTTGGATAAAGCTTTAGTTAATATCAAGTAATATTCCCAAAAGCTTTTAATAAAACGTTTGTTCATGTCCAGGGTTTTGTGTTTAGACGAAATAAAACTGTGGATGGCCCTGTGTCCGGGCAGAACAGGAGAGGAGGAGGAAGTGGTTCTAGTACTGACTTTGGTGTGAAACAGAGCCATGAAAAGCAGAATGCACAACATATGCACATCTCTACGTGATTTTCTCTTTAGGGGCACTTAGATTTCTGACATCCATGGCCTCAATCTACAATTTAATGCAGCTGATTTAATTTCTAATTGTATCAATTCAAAGGATTCAAACACCAGTCTATATATATATATATATATATATAAATGTGTAATACTATACTATACTTTGAACGTGTCCACATTTGATATTCATTTATTCCTGAAAATATGGAAAAATTCAGGGTAGAGGCCATAATAAAGTTGCTTGACCTATGACTAAGCATATACAAACAGACAATTGTGTTGCAAACGCAAACAAAATTTTTAACGAGGAAAAGCTCCTTTGAAAAATGGTGCATAGGCAGTTACCTTCAAAAACAAAAACATATTTTCTGTTCTAACAAAGTGGTAAATGGATTACATCAAGTGTGGTACATAAAATCTTGTTGATCGGCTGAGTTCATACAACACACAACATTGCAACCGCTCAAACTATGAAGAGGATCAAAACATTAAAATAGTGTTCAATTTAGTGGCAGTTTTTGATAACTTGTTTGTTCTGCAAAGGCTTTCTGGTCTGCAGACTATTCACATCTTACTATTGGGCATGTGTATGAAGGCCAAATAGCACTGTACAGATGTTTAAAGAAGAGAAAAGTCAAAAAGCATAATATGGGACCTTTAAGTTAATTTGTTATTGATATACTGTACCCTTATATTGTCTTTAGAACAGAAACCTGCTTTTACCACTGTATTCTGATCACAATCCCATGTTGCCTGTTTAATAACTCTATGTCCTCAGCTCTCCAGTCACTCACTACTCCCTGGCCTCTGTAATCCTCTTGACACAGACAGAGGCTTAAGTGGAGAAGGGCCCATTACAGAGGGTTTATATGACGACAATTTGAAAAACCAACACATGTTTAATGATCGGCCTGTTTTGCATCTAATTTGCATACACAGTACAGTAAACACAAATCCCTTGTATGGATTAGACATAGCAATCAAAGGACACATATTATGCAAAACCAACTTTTTGAGCTCATAATGCAAGGCAAGTTTTTTTGCATAGCACAGTTCATACACAAGGCAGCTTAAAGCTGGACTCACCCACTTTCTGACTTTGACGCAGCAGTTTCAAATGTAAGCGCTGCCCTCACTCTTTCTGCTCCCCTCTCCACACTCACGAAGCTTTCGCCCCCCACTAACCCCCTCCCACTCAAGCGCATGCTCATGTTTCAGATTCAGATTCAGAAAACTTTATTGATCCTGTAACAGGGTAAAAGTATCCTCTCTACACTGTCACTTTGAGTTTGGGTGTGGTTTTTTTGGTTTGTTTTCCTTGTTTGGTGTGGGCCAATGGCCATGTTTTAATTAGTTGGCAGCTGTGGTGGGCGGTACTTCCCCTTTAAAAGCTCAGTGCACCATTTCCTCTCCCTGACACTCTCCCTCTGTCTGGTGTGAAACAAGTCAGTCTTTATCACAGACATTCATTTTAATTTAGCAGACTGTTTACTTTAGTGATGGGTAAATGAAACCTCACGTATCGTTTCGGCACATCCAACGAACTGTATTGATACTGTGCCGCAACAGTGTTACTTGTGCTGCTCTATACTGACGCCTGGTGGATCTGATAAATCATTGCAACTCACTGATTCAATGAGCTTTACATACTTGTCTGTACACAATATTACGTAACTGCATTGTCTGTTATTTTATTTTTATGTGAAAATTAAAGTGATAGTTGTGAATGTATTAATTAAGCAAATTGTCAGTGATTGTATATATATATAATTTGTTTTTTTCAAAACAATAAGCATGTCCAAAGTGCACTGTAAACCCTGGCAACTAAAGTATACTTGAAAAAACCTTTGACATTTTCTACACTTCAATTTCGCAAAATCATTCTTCAAGACTGTGATGTCAGCATAAGCTTTTGAGGTCCGACTGGGATTCGTACCCAGTTCTCTCTAACGCGGGGTGAGAGCGCTATCCACTCATCCACCATGCCGAACTAGGTTTTCCGTTTCAAACTAAATCTTGATTGTAGATAAAGCGTGAAATGTAAAATACAAACATTGCCTTATTTGCTGTTATTTGCAGTATCACACTGCAGAATACTTTCTTTTAGTTGCAGGTTCCATTTTTATGCTGTAAAATGGGATGTTTTTCCTTTTTGAAAGGGTTATTTTCTTTTTCTGAGAGCGGTTCATACCGGTGACACTTGCAGATGCGGAACCTTTTAAACACAGTTTGCCGTGTCGGTGACAAGCGACACTGCGGCTGTATCGGTCACGTGGCTTTTTCATAAAGCGACACGCGCGCCGATACAAGGTTTCGCTAAACGAACTCGGCACATGCGCCGGTGTATCAGTGTTGCTGGACCCATCACTAGTTTACTTAATGTTTATCGTTGTCATGCTTGCCTGACACTCTCAATCACAAGAGTAAAACAGAGCAGATCTCAGGTCTGCTTCCATCATGGCTCAGGGCCCACTTTTTGGGCATAGAGTTTGGGTTAGTCTTTTGTCCTTGTGGGTTTTAGACATTGGTGCACTATTGCTGACTAAAACTAATTTAAAAACTAAATTAGAAGTGATAATAAAGCCTTAAACCATGACTATAGTTACTCAAAATAAAAAAACATAAATGAACAGTGAGAACTAAAGCAAAGTTCCACTTTTCAATCGGGTTCTGCGCCCATTCATCCCCTAAATACTTCCATACTCATCCTGTTCAACCTCTGACCCTCTGAATGAAGGTAACTGTCATGTTACCCTAACGTTATTGGCCCGCATATACACACACACACACTCACTCACTTTTACACACACTGGAGCAGAAGATAGCCCAGTGGAGGTTAGGGTTAGATCAGATGTTAGGGCTAGCAGGTGTGTGACTATAGCAGAGGGTAATTAGGGCTAGGGTCAGGGTTTACAGGTGTGGAGCAGAGGGGGGGTTCAGTGTAGAGGTGACTGTCTTCCAGTCTGAATTAACTGAAGAAGATGACAAAGTCTGGGATCGTGTCTTTAATTCAGACAGAAGACATGTTTTATTGTTGATGGTAGAGCACGAACAAAGAATGTTACAAACGGCAAGTGATAATCTAGCATGGAGGAATGAACACTGTCCAATCAGCTTTCGACGCGATGCCAGTAACTTGGCCTTCAGATAGACAAAACAATGGAATAGTACTGGCTCCTGCAAATGTTAGAATGATGAGTTTGAACTTTAACCACAGTTGCTTCAAAGTGTCATGAAATATCCAAATAACACTATACCTGCATATTGCAAAGAGCCAAATAAAGTTTTCGAGAAAAAGTGACTTGGTGGACAGATCCAGGACACTTGTCCTCTGCATGATTACAGTCCTCACTGTAAAGTGCCACCTCCACTTTGTGCTCAATGTGTTTGTGTCAGTGAAGGACATACACCAAGGTGACTCAATCTTAAAAAGTACAAGGCTGCACAAATTATAGAACTGTAACTAGTTATTTAAATCATATTTTAAATAACTAGTATCTCTTCTCCAGGGCACCACTTACGTAAGTAAGAAATGTTTCTTTTATATAGCGCATTTTACAGACCAAGGTCACCCAAAGCGCTTAACAATGTTCAGAGATGAGATATTGTTCCAATCATTACACTCACGGTGATGACTTTGTGGTGGGCCGGACTCGTTTTTATTCAATTTAATTTGGTAAAACGCATTCCCCATTTGTAATTAGAGTGAATTCAGTTTATTAAACCAAAACATAGACAGATGTGATAAATTTGGTTTCACTGTGATCGCAATGATAAATATAAGAAAACACATCTCTCTTGGGCAGTGTCCTCTTCATAAAACAACTTCTGCCAGAAATACAGTGAGGTTCTGTGACACCTGTGGCTCATTAATATATTTAATACACTTAATGTTTACAATTGATCTGGAATGATGCAATATTCAATTAATTGCCCTTCAGGCTCCGCTAAAATCAAGTAAGCTAATACAGATTTGATAAATCTAATCAGGGCAGATTTCAGCTATAACGGAATATAACAGAGTGGAGGTGTTTCCACGCTGCAGACCTGTCTGTGTAAAAGGGGGTGTCAATCCTAACCCTAAACTTGGGACACAGGGTTAGGGTTACAGTCTAGTTGGTTTATGAATCTTGCATTAGCATGCACATATCTTTCCAGAAATAATAAAGCAAGTTGCAGACATGATTATCTGATCCTTTCGATCATGTTTGAGTCTGAAAGTGAGTCACTTTTCTTTTCTCAACAGGACACAGATGATGCAGGGGGAGGCAGTTAATGAGTATGAATTGGAAAGTTGCGCCCTCTTCTGGCGTTCACTGTACCTACATGTTATGTTTTTTCACTGCACTGGAAAACTCAAAACATGTTCAAGATTCATGATTTTTACACAAACAGTAATGTAAAAATATTAATTTTATGTGTAGCCATTCTAATGGTAAGTTTGTTAGTAATTTAGTTCAACCAACTAAAGCTAGCCCTAACACACTAAAGCTAACACTAACCTTTACCCTCATCAACTATGCCTTACCCTTTATGACCAATTATGTAAATACCGAAATAGGTTATGGCCGTCTGTCATATTTCAAATGATGTGCAACATATACCAAATACCAAACATATTTCACTCAGCACATTATGCACATGCACAGACAACTTGGAACGTAACAGTGAACAGCCGTGGGTAAGGTTAGGGAATAGGCTTAGGGGGTTAAGGTGCTCTGTGCTCCGTCTTACTTTGCAAGGACAGTAACAGTTAACTGTTTACTGAGCTGGATAGATAAACGTGGTTAAAACAAATATGCTTAAGCTAATCTTTTTAAAAAATGGGAAATTGGCCCCTACTGCATATAACACAACAATTGCAAACCGAGTGCTCCTATTTCCTCATTTATTTATTCTACTGTAATGTGCGCGACGATGACTCCCACTGTGGGACAAATTAAAGGTCTGTTTTAGCTTAATTACTAACAAGCTTAGCATTAGAATTAGAATGGCTTCACGTAAATTAACATTTGTGTGACATGAGTTCTCCACATAGATGTAAATTAATATCTCCAGTGCAGCGAGAACTTATGGTGCAAGTACTTCAACTTCCCAATTTAACTGCCCACATATAAACTCTGTGACTTATATGTGCTATATGAAACCACATGCGTCCTCTGTCACTTTAACTCATCTGTTCAATAATAGCTTTAATGTCAGAATGAGCAATATAGATCCACATGTGTCCACTGTCACTTTACTTAGTCACTTTGTTCCAATTACATAATCTATTACCTGGAAAAAGAATGGAATATACAGTATTATACTTGCTTCTTTATTAGGCCAAAAAGAGATTTTATACTTACCTCTTTATTATGTTAATGTCAAAGATTTTGTACTTAATTTTTGCTTCTTCATTGTGCTTAAGTTAGAGATTTTAGATTTGCTTCCTAATCTAAAATCTCTGGCCTAGCAGAGGATGTACTTCCTGTGGCAGCTCAGGAAAGCCAAGCTGCATGCACAGATGTTGGTGCAGTTCTACACGGCAATCATCGAGTTCATCCTCACCTCCTCCATCACCGTGTGGTTTGCTGGAGCCACTGTCAGGGACAAGCAGAGACTACAGCGCATCGTGCACTCTGCAGAGAAGGTGATCGGCCGCAGCCTTCCATCGCTGCAGGACCTGTACGTCGCTCGAGGCCGGGCTGGTCGTATCACAGCGGACCCCTCTCACCACATGGACTATTCCAACCACTCCCCTCAGGCAGGAGGCTGCGGTCCATCAGGACTAGAACAGTGTCACTCCCGTATTCGTCCCGGAAACCGGATTCGTCCGGAAGTTCAGTTTGATCCAATGAGCATACGCAGCAGTAGATTACGTCACGGAATCTGGACGGAAGCGGAAGTAAATATAAAACCTATTAATGCCTAAACTTAACCAGCCATTCCCATAAAATAACCCCAGCCCAGCCTTAACCCTAAACTTAACCATCTTAATCAGACGCCTAAACTTAACCAGTCTCCACTTAAGGACATATTCAACTTTTTGACATGCGCAAACTGAACTTCCGGACGAATCGGTTTCCGGGACGAATACGGGAGTGACAACCTCCCGCCACAAGAACAGTTTTTTCCCCTCTGCTGTTGGACCCTTGAACACTTCTTAACCTCCCCGCTCCCTAGAAGTCCCCAAATGCTCTTTATAAAGTCACTTTACCTCACTGTACTGCTGTCACCTTACATTGTGTGCACCATGTGTACTGTATATTGTATATAGTAATTGTAACTCTATTTTAATTTTAAATTTATTCCTTAGAAGTGTTTTTTTATTCTTTATTTTATTCTCTCTCTCTCTGACTGTTGCACCGAGCCAAAGCAATTTCCAAGTCTGTGACCTCCTGTTACTTACGTGGCAATAAAAATGATTCTGATTAATTATGTTAAAGATGGAGACGTTATACTTGCTTCTTTATTATTCTATAGTTAGCGATTGTATTTTATTTTAGTATGGAGTTATCCTTCATGTATCTTGTGTTGTGTGCTCCTCATTCCTACTGCTCTGTAACCGGTGATGCAACATTGAATTTTTCCCACTGTGGGAGGAATAAAGGATCTCTTAATCTTAATATTCTTTTAGCTAAGATTAGCCTTGATCAGATTCGTCAAATGTGTTTGATTACTTGGTTTGAGCGGAGCCTGCAGGGACATTAATGGGACAATGCATGATTCCAGATTAATTCTAAAGATTTCAAGTGTATTAATTATGACAATGAGCCACAGGTATTACAGAACACCATTGTATTTCTAAACACTAAAGAGATGTGTTTTCTCAACTGAATATCTTTTATCCGTTTATTTTCTCACTGTAAATGTACCCTCAGTCGACAGCATTCTATTGTCAACACTCTAAATCTTTATCAATACCCACTCAGTGTTTGAGAATCGTTTTACTGCATCTTTCCTTTGCTTTCGCTTCAATCTTTTGCCACTATCTTTACTGCCCTTGGTGTGAGTGAGTTTGAACAGCGGAACACACAGTTGTAAATGGGAGCTTTAAAAGACTTTCAATTTCCTGCTGCAACAAGACGTTGGTGTTAGCGGCAAAAGTCAGTAAGAACCTTTTACTGATCAGTCATAACCTAATTTAGTGACCATACCTCCAGGTGTAAGCCAGATCTTTGACGCTAAGCAAGGTATGGCTAGTATTGTGATGGGAGACATCTGGGAATACCAGGTACCACAGTGGGGGGGCTGCGGCTGTTAAGTGCCAACCTGTGGTTGTGTCCTTTGGCAAGACACATCACCCACCTTAGAATGAATGTGGTGTGTGTGAATGGTTGGTGATAGTGGGATGACTGATGTGTTGGGGAAAAGAAGAAAGGATTTAAGATACTACAGTACTTCTCAATCAGCACCTGTTCCAGTGGTCCGCTGTAGAACATCTGAGCTAAATCCAGAGGGTTTAGCTCTCCAGTACCTGGCTGGTCTCTGATTAGTTACTGACATACTGAGCTGGGCGTAGGTTCGGTTTCAGCTTTGGTTTGGCCATTCACTGGGGCCTGAGACTACAGTGATTGACGGAGGCCTGTTTAAACGCATTTTCCGGTTTTATATATATTGTAGCGCTTTCATTTTCATTTTGAAACTGTTTTACAAGTCCAGAGAGAAGGGGCAACAGTAGCTCAGTTGGTAGAGCATTGGCCTTTGGGCCTGAAGGTCGTGGGTTCAAGCCCACCGTAAGACCTACTTCACGACTCCCGCTGATGACTGCTGTCGTTGTGTCCTTGGGCAAGACACTTAACCCCACTTTGCCTGAAGCCCACAGAGAGAAGTCTTGTGGCACTGGGCTTAAATATGCTATTTGACGTGGGGAAATTCCAGGTTGATGTATACACATATACACATCAAGGCATGCAACGAATTACTTCCGCGCTCCTAGGCAATGTCGGTAGAGACTGTCTCACGACCTTCAGGCTCAAAGAACAATGCTCTACCAACTGAGCCACTGTTGCCCAGAAGTTAAGGAGTGTGTGCTGGGGTGAGGTGTGTGAACTATGTGTGTGTTAACTGTATGCATGTGTGTTTACTGTGTGTATGTGTGCACTGTGACAGTAGCTCAGTTGGTAGAGCACTGGCCTTTGGACCTAATGGTTGTGGGTTTGATCCCACCACAACCCATGTCATCTGCTCCCCCCGCTGAAAAACCAAGGCCAAGTCTTCGATGACAGAGAAGCAATCATCCTGTGGACCCACCACCTGCAGGAGGTGGGTCCACAGATAATAAAAAATACAAATACTGGCTCTCAAGTCTGGGTCTGGCTGAAGAAGGGGTCCAGAATGGTCCAGATCTAATCAGATCACTCTCTCTGGTCTCATGTCTGGATCTGGGTTTGGCTGAAGAACTGGTCCAGGATGGTCTTGATCTGGTCAGGTCTGTAGTCCATAACTGTGAACCTGGGACCTTTGGCTCCTCGAATCATCGCTGAGAGTCCTGAACACAAACCACATACAAGTGTTCAGAGGAGTATTATGAATGAAGTTTCTAAAAAAACTCACGCCGGCCGCAGTCGGGTCTGAAGAGGCACAACACCGGTTTGTCCATGACCACAGCTCGACCGAGTTCATATCCCACACCCATAGAGGGGACCGTAACCTCAGCCACGACCACTGGAACATATATATATATATATATATATTATATATTACACACACATTTATTATATACATCAATCAACAACACACTCAGACTGCTCACCATGACTCTGCTGGAGCCAGTCCAGGTCTCTGTCATGAATTTCTTTGTCGCCAGTTTCAGAGACTTCACCTGCAGAAAGAACATATATACAGTACCAGGTCTAAAGCATGTCTAGAGCAGGATTAAAACGGGTCTAATGGTGCTTTCAGACAGCAAACGCTCAAACACTGAAGCCCCGCTCACCAGACGCACATTCTCTAGTTTTCAGACGCAGAGGTCTTCACTCCAGAACGTCCTGGCCAGCGCCGGAAGTGCCGGAAATAGCCGGCCGCTATGATGCTAACAGAGCTATGCTAGCGGCTTCTTTGTACAGATCTTCTCCAATATGCAGCTTTGCAGCGTGTCTTTGTTCAGCGACCTTCCACGGGCTTTATATAACAGTAGTATGTGTTCACGGAGGTGTGCCATACATTTTTTGTATTATTAAACGGTGTTTCCGTCAGTCCCCCATTGTCAACCCTGGTTTGAGTTCTGGTGAAGCCTGGTGTGGGTCCTGTTTTGGCTGTTTACGAGTATTTTCAGTCTGCTCGCTGAGGCCGCTAATGTCCCCGTGACCACTTTGCGGGTCTCTGATTGGTCGCTGCACGAACGTCCCAAGGAAAGGATGAGCAGAATCCATCTCCTATGGCCGTCGATTTTTCGCTCCTGCTCCTCCCCTTTGACTTTCCCGCCAAGACCGTGCGTCTCTACTGAACAGTCCGTGCATGCGTGCCGAGAGGTCCGTGCGTTGTGACTCATCATAGACTTTGCATTGAAAGCCGACGCAACGCATGATCCGGTCTGAAAGCACCATAAAGCAGGTCTGAAGCAGGGCTTAAGCTGAAGTAAATAAAGCAGGTCTAGGGCAAGACAAAAACAGGTCGAAAGCAAGACTAATGGGGCGTTCAGACCGCCGACGCTGGAACACAGCTTCCGCGCGCACCTTTTCTAATTTTCAGATGCAGGGGTGTTCAGACCAGAAGTCCTGGCCTGCGGTGGCACCCGCCGGAAGTGGTGGAAGTAGCGGGTGGACTTTGAAGCTAACGGAATTAAGCTAGCGGATTTTTGTGTGAAGTTCTTCTCCATTATTAAACGGTACTTCCGCATCGGCGAACACGCTCAAAGCATATGTATACAGTTACGGGAGCATGAAAACACATATGTTCATAAGCCCTGTGTCCCCCCCTTGTCAACCCTGGCTTAGTCCTGGTGTAGCTCCTGTTTTGGCTGTTTACGAGTATTTTCTGTCTGCTCGCTCAGACCGCTAATGTCCCCGTGACCACTTTGCGGCTCTCTGATTGGTCGCTGCACGAGCGTCCCAAGGAAACGTTCATTAATGTTTATCTCCTGTGTGTGTCGATTTTCCGCTCCTGCGCCTCTGCCGCGCCTTTGCCGCACAATCCGTGCATGCATCCCGAGACGTATGCAGTTCCACGCTCAAACGAACGTCACCATTGACTTTACATGGAAAGTCGCCGCAACGCATGATCCGGTCTAAACGCGGCATAAAGGGTCTCATACCTTGGACACTGAGGCCCTGGTCCCCCACGTGCTCGGTCAGGACTGTCCCATACGTCCTCAGCTCCTGTACGAGGCTCTGATACAAGTGCACATCGTCTCTGCCGCCGCGGATACTGCCCGCGAAGTAAATGAGACGAGACATGGAGACTGGATGAAAGTTATGGACCCCAGTTAAATATGTGTTATTCATGAGGCTAAAAGGTAAAGTGTAATTAATTCAAACATGATCCAAACAAAACAGGTGCCTTAAAATACAAATTATATACATCAACAAAGACAAACTAAGAATAAAAACCAGGGTATACATTTAGATATTTGTAAGGGCATACGCAATAAATGATAGAAGTTTAGTAGCATTCTTAGATTTTATGAGATTGAGTGAAGTATGAAATGTTTGAACTCATTGGGATGGTTTTTGAAAGAGGACGTTTGTGAATGCAATGTTTAGCTAACAATATAGGATTGTTAACACCAAACTCAGTTAAACGAGAATTAAGGGAAATACCAAACATTATATTATTATTAGCTACATTTGGCAATCAAATTCCTTCCCCCCTGTATCCCTTGTTGAAAATCAAACAAGAACCTGGACAGATTTACAAGAGAAAATAAATGATCCAAATAATCTGACCTTTTGTTCACTAGTATAGCGGTTACTTCAAATTGGTGAAGTAACCTTATTGGTCATAAGATCTAATCACATCATTTATAGCTGTATAATGACATTTGTTTTTCCAAATGAAAAAAAATATCATCTATACTTTTATAGATTATATTTTTTATGGATAATGAATACGCAGGATAGCTCAACCAGGACAGACAACCAAATATGGATTGATCTCTTTGTAACCACCGATTTAAGAAGCATTTACAAGTGTCAATATTGTCCAAATTATTAACTTTCTCAGAGGAGACTAAAGTTACTTACCACAGCTTTACGGCTTCAAGCGGGACCGAGTACTTCCGTCTTTGACTCACGCAGGGGAGCATGTTCCGGGTTGCCAGGTTTTACAGTTTCCCGCCTAAAGGAGCACAGAAAACGTCCTGTTTAGTTTACAAATGTGTTTGTGTGTGCGTATGTGTGTCGTAGACAGTGTTGGGAAAGATACTTTGAAAAAGTAATTAGTTACAAATTACCAGTTCGTTCTAAAAAATAAATAATAAAATAAATAAATAATTACATTACTTAGGTACTTCTGCATGGAAGCCACACCAAGCCCCGGTGATACTTGTGCTCAGCATAGATCCATGACTGTAGCGCATGGGACTTCACGGGGACCGGGAGATTAGCTGAACTCGCCTATATTTGGGCCTCGTCTGTGTTGTGGTAGTGGCTTAGCCTATGCACTATCCTAGAGAGCCCTCTGTTGGTTCAAGAGAGTAACCATACGTGTGACCAATGTGTGGTCCATTTAGTTGTCAGTTAAAGGAGATGCCCGTAACTTTTTAAACAGCTGCTGTGATTTTGCACAAACGCACACTGAATAACTTTAAACATGAGTTTGTCTGGGTCATTGTGTTTGTTTGTGTACCGTGCACTGCATTTTAATAATGAACTTATTTGAATGTTAAAATAACCAAATAAATATTGTGAACCTTTTTCTAAAATTGTCTCTGTTTATATTACCCACAAATCCCAGTAATTTCCAGAAGTATTTCCCAGCCCCTTGCACCACATGTACTTGTTGTTATCTATACCACTCAGTAACTTCTCTAGGTATAGACACTCCTATATGGTTGAAGCCAGTGCCATGTATTCTGCCTCACATGTGGATGGCGCAACTTGGTTGCTTTCCCAAGAGACTAGGGCACTGTTTTGACTGAGGCTCACACAGTAGTAGTGGTAGCACTGCTGGGTTTATCACTGTTGTCAGCCGCCCAGTCTGCGTCACTGTATGCCTGTATACCTAGCTTCTCACTGTTGTTTCTCTGTAAGGATCACCCTCCCCGTACAGGGAGGATTCAGATATCTTTAATTTAACAGCATCAGTATTAGAATTCACTTGTGTCAATATAGTCAAGCCATATCTCTTTTGAAAGCTTATTCCCACCTCTAAACGCGTATTATGTTCAAATAAACATTAAATATAACCAAAAGTAAGAATAAGTAGTCAAACTGTATATATATATATTATATATATATATATATATATATATATATATATATATATATATATATATATATAAAATATATATTGTTCTTTCTTACCTTTTCATGCTAATATTCTGGGGTAAATCACGTCTAATCTTTTTCTTCAAAGTCATCCTTATAGTAGATATCCACTTGTAACAACATATTTGAGTATTGAAAGTTGCACAAACAAAAATAAAACCTGTTCTTTGCGCACTGTATGAAGAGGACGTGGTACTATTTATCTAGCGTCACTGGGTATGCTCGTCTTCCTCTCAATCTGCCCTTCAAATCAAGCCCCTTCCCGGACTTTTCAGTGCTATGGTTTGGAAGGTAGATCAAGTTGAGTAAAACAAGCGCACCTAACTTTAGCGCTCCAGTCATATATATATCTGTGCGTCATGACAGCATTGTCTTGACTACCATAGGCCGATTTGGCTTCCAATCAAATAATCTTGTAGCCAATAATCTCAGGTTTCAGGCAATGTGTCGGACTTCAAGGTTCCTCCCACAGTTCCAGTGTTTTTTGAATGCGTAGAGAGGAAGACGGAGCCTTTTTCAAGGAGAACACGCGCTATATCTATATAAATAATAGCTTTTCTGCAAGCATTTCAATATCTGGATAAAATGCTATTTATAGCAAGATTAATAGCCAAAAAATGATATTTGATTTTTGGTGTAAAAACATTGATAATTTGCATGTAAAACACTTTGGCACAGTTGGCACAAATGTCGAATGTGCCGAATGTGCCCATTAGTTACAAAAAATGGTTCCACCTAAAGGTCTAATATTTCACTCAGTTGTTGCCAACACCACAGATATCTGCTCTGGTGAGTTTGAACAACATACCATAAAGTATGTCTTCAGGAAAACCTTTTGAAATAGTTTTTTTTTGTCACAAAAAAAAAGGCAA